TAACTTAGAGATATCTTGAAATGTATTTTTGACTAGTCAAAACTAACTTAGAGATATCTTGAAATGTATTTTTGACTGGTCAAAATTCCTTTTAAGATATCTTGAACTGAAGCCTCCATAGAACTCAATGGTAAATCTGATGTCATTTATACTAGTCAAAATGTAATTAGAGATATCTGAAATAACAAATAAGACTAGTCATAAATCAATTTCAGATATCTGGAATGGAAGTGTCGTGAATCCGATTTTATGCTAAAATGGCTTGCCAAAGAGGACATGTAGGTAAAGATGACAACTGAAGGGACAAAATGACAGCCGAGACATTTAGGGTCWCATGAGACATGTAAGGACAGCTGTCAGTTTCACTTCTTGAACTTTGGGTCAAATCAAAATGTTTATATCTTTGTTCGGATATGGTAGTTTGTTTAGAAATCTTCCCAGATTCCAGTTTATTCCCACTTATTATAATTTCCACCGACGTCTTACGATTTGGAATTTTTCCAAAAATTCCCCAAGGAAAGTTTGAGTTTCAACTGAAATATTGTTTTTGCCCTTATACAACCCTAATAACCCTTCGAAATGTTATCCAAAATGTTCTAGCTGAACATGTTTGTATGAGAGACTTGGTTATCTTTTCACATTTTTTAAACAAAAAAATATTCCCAAGCTATGATGGTGTGAACTTTATTACCATAGTCATTTCAAAATAAGAGACCTAAAAATGAGAACATACAAAAAAACACCAAATTGGATATTTGGTTTAACTAAAAGTTTGATGAACCCAGGATGTGAAGGATAAAATAATCAGGAAGCAGATGGAACAGAACAACTAATAAGAGATCTGGTTTCAAATTTAGCATAATAAACTTAATGTGCATAAACAACAGTAATGTACAATCTGTGATGGGTCCACTTGGGACGTACCAAATTAGGACCTTATAATTGGTTTGAAATGTTTTTATTTTTCTAAAGACTTATCAGAAATATCTGTAACATCAGTGTTTGTGGAAACGTTTGTTCTGTGTAGCTTACATCCTGTTTCTTTTTCCCCCCAACAACTAGGTTTTTATTTTAGATGTGAAACAGGACAGATGCTGAGGCAGGCAGGACTTTGACTTGTTGTTTATTAACGCACAGATAGGACAGAAAAGTGATAAAGTTTGTTTTGCCGTTAACAGACTTGGCACCAGACTTGGCACCAAACAGGAAGAAGCTTATTTGTACCAAGTTCTGGCAAAGAAGGCAGTAATTCTGGCTTCCCAAAATGACTCATTTAGGAGCAAACAGTAACTGTSCCGTCTCAGTCCGACTCCTCTGTTTGGAACCACATCAGCTTTTAAGTGTCACATTTGACAGCAAATGTGAAATCGATAACTTTTTCCCTGCAGTGTGTGATGTCGTGCACCAAAAGTGCAGACGGCCCTAATGGACCGAAATGCCGTGTCATGRTGCTCAGTCTCAAATTTAGATTAAAAAGCTCAGTTCAAAACCTGATTTCAGTGAGAATGGAGGCAGAAATGACTCTAAAAGTTTTTCTGCTACAACACAATGAGAAACGCCTTTTACTGGAACTGCTTTAAAAAACACGTATTAAAAAGCTTTTTATTGATTTAACCACTCCAGCTGTAGCCGTGAAAGAGATTACATTGAAAATTAAAATGTGTCTGAGGTTTTACTGCAGTTATTATCACAGTAATTAAGAAAAGAGAAGTCATGGTTTCTGTTTTAAACTTGAACACCGTGTACAAGGTGAGCTGCATGCAGGTAAAGGGCACAGGCATCAGTTTTCATCGCTGCCTCATCAACAGACTAAACGTTTGATCCGGGTTCAGTGAGGCGAAACAAGATCTGAGTTTTAGATCACAACAGACTTCTTTTCATTCAAATCAACTTTACAGTAAAGAAGAGGTGTCAGATACAAAGAGATGCAGCAGGTTTCTACCTCAGAACACACAGAGGTGGGTGACGTAAATTATATCATATTTAACCTTTAAGTTGTCCTTAAATTTACTGACAATAAGTTTCTGATGGAAAAATTACCACCTTACGTAACTGCAGAAAAATGCTATTTATTCATYTTTTTATCCATAAACTGAGTGAGTCTATTTAAGCTGTCTCAACCTGAAATAAAAATATAAATGACTTTTTAAAAACTACTTAATTCAGTTTGTCCAATTTATAGCAAGGTTTGGAAAAAAGGCARGTTTTCTACTAGGTACACCAAAATACATTTTTTTATTTTTTTACCTTTTTTGTTATAAATTTCCAGTTCAGACTGTTTGGGAATAAACTTGTCATCAGAAACTGAATTTGAATTACTCAGATTGAATCTGTATTTGCATAATTTGAAATTGAA